CAGGCGATGGCAGTATAATGAGTATAAGTCAAGGGCCTCCAGCTTTCCTTTGTATGAATTACCCTGCAGTCCACTGATCATCTGGGTGAACCTTTTTTGCACTGCCTCAAGCAGTTATTTGTCCAATACTAGGAGAGGGGCCGACACCTGGACACAATACTCCAGGTGTGGTCGCATAAAAGCCTTATACAGTGGCAAGGGTACTTTAGCCTCCCTCGATATTAATAAAACTCTGAATAAGGCTCTATTGGCCTTCGCTGCGTCTGCCGCGCATTGCACTGAGGATTTAAAAGATGAGTGTATCTTCACCCCTAAATCTCTAATCAACTCAGTGGATTCTATGATGTCCGTCGACTCAGCGTCTAGATGACGCACCCCACTGCCCCTCTGTTTAGCTGCAGGTGCCTGCATTCGATGGCTTTGAGAGGTAGCTTCCATGTCTCCAACAGCCATGAATTGCGTTTGGTGCATCCTGTAAGTCCCCCCATGATGGATTCCCTATTACTTCGAAGTCATCCGCGAATATGAACCCGGGGCACCGGCAGACCTCGGTGACGTCATTAACATACAGCACAAATAGTATGGGAACAAAGATTGATCCTTGAGGTACTCTGATGTACTCCGCTACAGGCTGCTGCCGTCTCCAAGGTTTCCTGTTCCGCCCTTGCACGGAAAGTCCTATCGTGTAGGTACGCTTCGATCCACCCCACTACCTGCTGGTCTACCCGCAAGGCTTCCAGTTTGCGCAGAAGAAACCTGTGGTTGACCGAGTCGAGGGTTTTCCTGAAATCAAGGTAGCCAACTTCGACTCAATCCCCTGCGTCCAACCTTTCTGTTGCATCGTCCAGAAATGATAAGAGGTTAATGAGACACGTTTTTCTGTTGAGAAAGCTGTGTTGTTGGCTAGGTCTGAGGTGTTTATCGTCCAAATATCCCACCAACCTCTCTCTAAGGCAACGCTCGAAGGTTTCCAGGACAACCAAAAGCAGGCTCACTGGATGATAGTTCGATGAAACCACCCTTAACCCACCCTTGTGTATTGGCAGCACTTCTGCCGTGGTCCAGTCGACCGGCAGCCTTACTGAGGCAAGAGATCGGTTGAAAAGCTGAGTCAGCGCACCTGCAATGGTGTCAGCCATGAGTCGCAGGATTGCTGGATGCAGCCTACCCGGGCTCGCGGCCTTGTTCTTGTCCGGCTGTTTCAGTGCTGCTTCTACTTCCTTTGCCTCTAATACAAACGGAGCCATGTGCTGTTCGGGGATCCTACCCAGTAGATCAGACAACGGCTTTCCCAAGTCCTTTATGTGGACTTTCTCGAATAAGCCGTATAGAACTTCAGCCTTCTTCCTACTGGTGGCCGCACTAACATCATCTGCATTTACTACATTTCCGACCGCTATCCGAGAGTGGGCCTTAGACTGCACATAGTTTTAGTAGGCTTTTGGTCACTGTTTTGCACTACGAGTAATCCTACTCTCATATTCCCTTCGACAGCGTCTCTGCATCCTTAGTGCCCTTTCTCTCGCCGCCCGATACTGCAGGTGCTGTCGTTGGCCACCACTGCTCCTGTGGCAAGTCCATGCCTTCCACTTTATGGCTTATGCCCTGACTACCATTTTGCCCACCAAAGCGGCCGGCCCCTCATCTGACTTTTCTTAGGGGGGCAAAAACATCCGTGTGCCGGGTGATGCTGTCCTTGAATGACTGACACTCCTGCTCCACGGAGAGCATGCCCTCTGTTGGCCACTGGATTGTCTCTGTTGCTTGTCTGAGCGCCGGTACATCTAGCTTCCTACAGTCCCTCCTGAGCTTGTGTGGAACTGGGGGAGGGTTTCCCCTGATTTTGGTCGCTTCTTCTTAGGGAGGCAGAAACCCCGAGCTGTTCAACATCATGCGGCATCTTGGTCAAAACTATATCCAACACGCTGGGCCATTGCCCCTCCCGCCATCTAGTTGGTTGGTTGACGTGCTGCACCAGGGGTAGCACTGTCATCAGGTCCACTAGTTTTCTACCAAATCCAGAGTGAGGGACCCCCAGGCAGTTTCAGGCTTTCTGTTGCAATGGCTTCATGCAGCCATGTCTCGGCAATCACAATACAGTCTGTTTCTAAGGTTTTGTCTCTTAGTTCTCTCAAATTGTTGCCTAGGCTGCAGGCGTTCGTATAGAATGCCGATAACCCCCCAGGCCAAGCCCCCTCCTAGCATTGGTGCCACTAGAGTCTAATGCGCATTCGGGCAGCCCACCCGAGTGCTCTCTTCGTTTTTTGTCGCAGGCATACTCTTCGCCCTCAGTCGCTGAGTCACCGAGGAGGGGATGACGGCTACACTAGCCCTACTAGCCACCGTAACCCACAATTCCATACCAGTTTCCAACCGTGTGATGGAGACTGATAATACAATGATCGCCTCTGCAGTTCACACGCGGACCAAGGCCCAACTACCGTAACAGATCGAGCGAACTTTAATTTAGATGGCGAGTAGACAGAACGCTGTGGCTGTTGTTGCAAAGAGAGGAACACACAGCTAATCGACCAGATAGATGGGATTGAATGAGGTCAGACATGCTCATTGACGAACCGGAAAAGCGATAAAAGACAGGAGCGGACTGTCCGACATGATAGTCCAGAAATGACCGTATGATTGTCCACTAGTTGTCGCCTATGACTCAGCATTGAGTGAATCGCCTGAGCCGGAAACGCGAAGTTGTTCCAGTTTCTTCTACAATTCCTGTCGTGCTTTTTCGCCTTTCCGTTTTCGTTCGGCTTTGTATTTTCCACTAACTCATTAAACATAGGAATTGTTGATTTCCATGAAATTCTTCAACACGTTTTGAATTAATGCGACGATGCTGTGCTTCCAGGGATCATGTGATGATGAGAACAAGATGGGAATAAGGACTTCATGGTTTTCTTCAAACATTGATACGATATTTTCGTTATTCCAATAACCCAACGCTCAGTCCGCAACCTGGAAATGTGAGCTGGACACTGACTTGGCGATTTACTTGAACAGAGAGAACATGATTCGTCGAAATTGAGTTGTATCAATTACTTCGAGGATCTCATCGATCTCGCCCAGGAACATGATCTCTTTCTGAGAATAGGTTTTCGGCCAGAATTTCAACAGACCCTTGACCACTTGTTCGGTCAGAGTAGATTCTTTCTCAAGAAATTGTACTATGTAGTAGGCCAGCTGTGGGTGAAACAGAACTAGGGATTTGGCTTTGTGAAGCGGAGTATAAACTTTGGCCAAGAAGCTTGTGCTCGCTCTTAAGCGTGAGTTCAAATCTATTTATGATAAGACTTAAGAGCTCCAACAGTTCACCCTCCCCCTCACACACCATTGAACTGTTCCGTTTCATAGATAAACCAGAGAAAAATATTATTTATTTGTTTCCGATTGAAAGATCGCAAGCCCAGCAACTTCCCGTAAATCCGATGAACCATTGTCTTGAGAAGTTTACGTTTACGTGGATCTTTGCTGTCGAAACATTCTAAAAGCTGTAAGACAAACCTCTCATCAATTTATTTTTTGGCCAAGCTGGAAGAATTTGGACAATTCAAATACGCGAAGAACACATTCGTAGACATGCATCAGGTGTAGCCATGCAACCTCAAAAACTGGATCATCTTCTTCCGGGTCAAAGTCTGAGGTATCGGTCGGAGGTTGTAACAGTCAAAAAGACTGAAAATTCTTCTCAATTACCTTGCATTTCCTTATCTTTCTTCGCCATTCTATCGTGCATTCTTTCCGACAATGGTTTTCATGTCGGTGAATTTTCTCTTCTGAACCTTTTATTTCACCTTTTTTGCGATGAAGCATATCTACTGGACACACACTGCAAGTGCTTTGCTCTTACATATAGATCAGATTCAGTGGTTTTTCTTGTTTTATTTCGACCAAGGTTTCGATTGGACGCTCGTTGTTGAACTAACCGTTGCTTCCGGTTATATTAAACTCCTTTTGGCTGTAACGCTCAAGTTTATTTTGCTTGATCTGTTGAAGCGTGCAAACTTTTCCTATTGGTCCTGAGTTATCTGCGCGGCTGTATCCACCACTTTGACTACATGCGTCCGCATTCCGGACCAGGTAGAGGAACGCACCCCCTGCCTCAGCTACAAGGTGTTTTAAGGTTGGGTGCCTAGCGTCTAGTCAGTCCCACATCAAAGCCACCAACGCTTAATTAACGTTAATAACCCGAATCAATCCACTGCTGATCGGAGCCCCTGAGACCATCGAACAAGACCCTTCAGAACTAATCTATTTCACAAGGTGAAGTGCATATTTATTCCATGACAGTTTCACTCTGTTCTTCTTCACCCTATCCGCTCTTGTGCCGGTTTCCGTCCAACGATCTGCATGCCGCCTCTTGTCATTTTACTCACTGCTTGT